ATGGCTCAGTAGAATAAGTGCTTGCCTAGCAAGTGCGAGGGCCTGAGTTCAATCCCCTGTTCTGCCAAAAAAAAAAAAAAAAAGGGGGTTAAGAAGAAAAAAAAAGCCTTCAGGAGGGTGTAATAGAGCCTCGAAATCTTAAATTCTGAATTTTTTCACAAGTGAAGTTTTCAGCGCAAGGGCCTGCATTCAATCCCCAGTTCCGCAAAAAAGAAAAAAAAGATCAAGTAAAGTTTTCAGCTGCTGTATTCTACCACATGAATATATTGGTCGGTAGATCTGTCTGTTGGACCTGCTGTGGTTGTGACATGCTGTCCGCAGGCTTCTCTGGCATATGTCTTCCAAAGCACATTTCAGCACTGGTGTTTTGTTTTCCAGAATCTTTGCACATAGCTTTGATATATAGCATTAAAAATGTTGTCTCCCAGAAACATAACAAGCTGTTAATTTCAGTGGCAGAGCCACTTTAGTGTTAGAAGTATTGTATTAGACTACAGCTCCTGTTTTGTCTTAAGAAAGAGCATACATTACCTTGATCTGAAGCTGCCCTATTTGCCTTGAATAACAAGGCAAAATCACCAGTCATTTTTTAATTTATTTTTTTTGTTTGTTTTTTGTGGAACTGAGGATTGAACTCAGGCCCTTGTGCTTGCCAGGCAAACACTTATTCTACTGAGCTATCTCCTGGCCCCAAAATCACCAGTCATAAGTCCAGCGAGGCATTTACTTTCACTGGCAGTTCTATACATGGGTGAAGGGACGAGTTAATGTTTCTGTCAGTATCTGATCTTTCAGATGTTGCATTCTGTATTCTGGGAAAGCTTAACAAATCCAGAGTAACAGTAAAGGGTCACAAAGGAGGAACTTGTTTTTAAGTGAAAGGCCCATTACATACAAAGGTAGTAGTTGGGTTGGCTAGTTTGTTTTTCACACTGTTTTTGGTTTTTTTGGAGACAGGATCTTACTATGTAGTTCAGATTGGCCGTGAACTCACTACGTAGCTTAGGAAGGCCAAACACTTGCGGCAGTCTTCTTGCCTCAGCCCCCCAGGTGGTGAGATTGCAGGCGTGAGCCGTGATGCCTACCATTACACTGCTATATTTTATGGTAAGCCCATTTATTTAACACGGGCTTGGAATAATGGATCATTTGTGTATTGTTCCTTTTCACCCAGTCTGTTCTATTTTATAACTCCAGGTATTATGGCACACTCTGCATTTGAATCTTAGATTTTCTTTATGTGTGTATAATAAACACACTTGATTTTCTTGAGATGTCTCTTAAGCTTGTAGGTTTAGAGATATAGTTTGTAAGAACATGTAAGTATGACCAGCTAATGCACATTCATGGGATGAGGGTGGCTTCTGTTTGGGCCATTTTGGCTGGTCACACAGGTGTTCTAATCACTTGGAACTCTACAGGGTTCTTTTTTTTTTTTTTTTTTTTTTTTTTTTTTGGTGGAACCGGAGATTGAACTCAGGCCCTTGCGCTTGCCAGGGAAGCGCTTATTCCACTGAGCCATCTCCCCGGCCCTTCTACAGGGTTCTGTTTCAAAAATTGGTTGCATGTTCCCTGTGACTTTACCTTTTAGATGTGTGTTTTTCCTTGGGTGGTTGCAGTCTTTGAAACACCAAAGGAACACATTACTGAGTGTTGTTTTTTTTATTCTTCCTGTATTTTAGTACCCAGCCTGCTAGATGAAGAGGCTCTATTGAAGAGGCTCTATTACGTGAAAATGGCCTTACGTTTAAACAAATATGTGCAGTTTAGAAGCTAGGTAACTTCCTTTTATTCCTCCCTCCCTTCCTCAGTGCTGGGAATTGAACCCAGTGCCTCAGTTATCTTAAGCCAGTGATGTACCACTGAGCTACACCCCTAGCCCCCAAAATATCTTTTAATGGCAGTCACAGAGCTTATTCTGAAAAGATGGTGTTTTGTGCAGTAGAACTTGGCTATTTCCAGCATAGCAGGCTATTGGAGCAGAACCTAGAGTTTGCAGAACAACACTGAAAACTCCACTGAGTGAATCGCTGGTTTATTGTCTTAAGTGAGAATGGAAGGTCACTTGGCCTATAACCTTTTCTTTTGTCCATTAATTCAGATAAAGTTTCATACCAAAATCTGTGAGAAAATAATCTCAACAGGATTTATCTTCTTAACATATCAATTAAGAGAAGGAGGAATGCTCTCTCATTGAAATATGACCTTTGGGTCAGTTTAAAAAATGTCTTGGGGCCGGGGAGATGGCTCAGTAGAATAAGCGCTTCCCTGGCAAGCACAGGGGCCAGAGTTCAATCCCCGGTTCTGCAAAAAAAAGAAGAAGAATCCTCCTAAAAAATGTCTTGCTTTTCATTGTAGCATCTTTAAATTCTATTTATTTATTTTTGAGAAGAATATATTTATTGAGGGGAGGAAAGCTCCTGTCCAAGAGAGGGACAGGAGGAGGGCCAAGCAGGTTGTTTCCCCCCCTTTGACTTTTAATAGGTTTAGTCACCAGTTTAGAAATAGCTTGCTGAATTATTACTTTTTCATACTAATTGCCTAGTTTGTATATGGTCATGGATTAGGGGAAGCATTTGTTTAATGGTAAAACCTTTTTAGCTAAACACTTCCTTTGGTTGCAGAAGATGACTGCTACATTTTCTACACACCGAAACCTAGCTTCTCTTTTGTCTTCTACTCAGAGCACGCAAGGAACCTGTTGTACCAGTTTGAAACTGGCTTTCAGCATGCCCAGAGACTGCTCATTAAGGTTTATTTAGACATTAGGGTAGAGATTCACAGTTTGAAAAACTCACATCCGGCCAATTTCTTCTTTCCTGCAGGTGTGCCTGACATGCTGCTCCAGGGATGTCATAGTTAAAGTTGACCAGATCTGTCACAAAAACAGCATCAAATTCTTCACAGGAGATGTTTTTGGCTACCATGGCTACACATTTGCCAATCTTGGAGAGCATGAGTTTGTAGAGTAAGTTGAGCGTGGAAGGAAAAATGGAATGTTTCCAAATTGTTTTATTTATTAGTGAGAATTATAGCATCTGAAGAAAGTATTTTACTGTTATACTTAGAACATCCTGAAACCAAGCCATTGACAATTTACTGAATACAGTTCGCTGTGGGTTCCAAATTGTAGGTCAGCTCCTGTGCTCCAAAACAATGGTGTGATCTAAAGCCTAAAGCACATGCAGTTGCACCACAAGTAGAGTACATCTCGTGGGTGTTTGATCAGTCTGGACCTCGGGTGTTGAACCTGCATTTTCTGCATGGAAAAGGTGTGCTCTCAGTTTGAGAGATAATTAGATGAGTCAACCTGGAGCCTCGTTCAGCAGAAGTCTACCTTGGAAAAGCTTCTGTGTCCAGACTACTATGGTGGGATGAACAGACCTTATTCCTCATTTGAAGTATTGAGGCTGCTGGTAATTCTCACATGATGGGACCTGTAGTGTTTAGAATTTGTGGCTTCTGTGAAAGGTTGCTGGTGATGAAATATTATAAAACCATGTGAGTTGGTTGTTTTGGTTATAATTTATGACATTTTTCCCTCACCCCAACTTGCTAATAAGAGCTTTAAGTGGAGGAGGGGAGGACTTCCTACCCCAGACCCCTGAGAACCGTTCTCTTGTTCAGCCTCTCAGAGAAGGAGCCAAAATTTCTCTTACCAATAAATTGAACTTGGGGAGACATGTTTAAGATATCTTCTAATTACAATTGTGTGGGTTTGAAACTATAGATTTTTTTATATATTACAAATAAAGTTGTAATAATGAAAAACAGGCCAGGTTATTTTTTTATTTTTATTTTGGCACTGGGGCTCAAACTCAGGACCTTGCACTGGCAGGCAGGTGCTTATGCCACTAAGCTATCTCCTGGTCCTGGGCCAGGTTATTATTATTATTTTTTTGATTTTATATATTCTTTTATTTTTTTAACATTTATTTATTGTGTGTGTGGCCAGCTCAGCCCACCTGGGGCGGGGCTGGCTGGCATGTGGTGCTGGGGGATTGAACTGTGGTCCCTGTGCTTTGCCAAGCTTGTTCCAAGTAGGTGCTTTAGACCACTGAGCCATCTCACCAGCCCCTGGGCCAGGTTATTTTAACATGGGCTTGCCACAGCAGAAGGAAGGAACTAAGGTTGGATTTTGTTTGAACCAGTCTTGTTTTATAGTTTAGGCTGTCCTTGAATTCACTGTGTAGCCTAAGCTGGCCTCGACTGTTCAGTGTTCCTCCTGCCCCAGCCTCCTGAGTGCTGAGTTTACGTGCACCACTGCACCTGACTGAATGTTTATTTTACGATTCCAGTAGAATGGTCTAAAGTAGTTGCTTTCAGTTTTTGAGAGCTTATATGTGCAGGATAGTGTGTTGAGTAGTTTATCTTATTGCACTTTCTTGTTAGTGGTGTTAGGGACTACTATTTTCTCTTTTTTTTTTTAAATATATTTGGTTGTTACAGGGTCTCACTGTGCAGCTTGGACTCACAGTGATCCTCCTATTTTTAGCCTCTTCAGCGCTGGGATTACAGGTGTGCACCACTATGCCTGGCTCAGCCCACCCTGGGGCAGGGCTGGCATGGCATGTAGTGCTGGGGTTGGAACCGCAGACCTTGTACTTACCTATGCGGGCATTTTAGTCTGCTGAGCTATCTCGCTAGTTCAGGGACTGCTATTTTCATAGTGTGGGTCCCTGATTTATCAGGTAGTTTGTGATAGGGTTAGAGATTGAACCCAGGTCTGTTTGACAGCAAAGATTTTGCTCTTTATGCACCATCTTATTCAGAGCTGGAATACTTTATTTATTTATTTATTTATTTATTGGCGTAACCGGGGATTGAACTGAGAGCCTTGCGCTTGCCAGGGAAGCACTTATTCTACTGAGCCATCTCCCCAGCCACCGCCCCCCTTTTTTTTTTTAAATCGTGGCACAGTTCATAATAGTCTTAACTCAATTTCCTCTCTAGGGAGAAAACCAAAGTTGCCAAAGTTAGCCAAGGGGTGGAAGATGGACCTGACACCAAGAGAGCAAAACTTGATTCATCTGAGACTACAATGGTCAAAAAGGTACAGTACTTGCCATGTGGGAGGCCAGGGTCAGAAACCTGGGGCTTTATTGGTATGGGCCTTTGCAAATTGCAAATGAGCTAGATTGAAATTGAACACAGGACCTTGTGCTTGCCAGACAGGCCCTTGTGCCGCTGAGCTGTACCCCAGGCCCTGTAGTTGCAAATGAGAAAAGCAGACTTGGTGGGGCAGTCTTGAGGGGAGGTCCCATGCTTATGCCACCCAACCAAGGTAGCTGTTGCTCTGAGGGAAAAAGGACCCACATTCCAGTTGTAAATTTTCAAGGGAATTGAGAAATGCCAACTTTTATATGTACTGACCCAAACTTTTTTTAACTCCTGCTGGAATTGCTTTGAATGTTCTTTGGTCATCATTGTGGAAGCCAGACAACGTGCCTGTGTGGTTTATTTGGTATATGGACTACCAGTTTAGGCCTGTGATGCATTGAGTAGTGTCAGATTGTGACTAGACGCCATTACTTCTATAGGATTTTTTCTTTTTTCAGATAGACAATAAGTCTTAAGTGTGCAGGAGCCAGTTTAAATACCACCACCACCCCACCCCAGCACCCTGCATTCAGTTTAGGTGAGGGAAGTGCTCCACCACTGAGCTATATATTCCTAGTCCATTTAATTTTCATTTTCAAATAGAGTGTCGCTAAACTTCCTGGGCTGGTCTCAAATATGGTGCATCCTAACTCAGCCTCTGTGAATAATTTGCTTAAGGTTTGAGCCACCGTGCCCTAGCTAATTTCTTTCACCACATAACATTTAATAATACTTATTATAGCCAGATATAGTGGCACATGCCTGTAATCCCAGCACTTGGGAGGCTGAGACAGGAGTATTGCGGTGAGTTTGAGGCCAGCTTGGACTATATGGCAAGACCCTGTTGCAAAAAGAAACAGAAAGAAAGGGTGGGGGGGCAATGTAGGATTTGAACCCACAATTTTGAGCAGGTAGTTGAGCGCTCTCCTCTTTTTTTGTTTGTTTTTGGGAAGACAGAGCCCCACCAAATTGCTTGGGGTAGTTTTAAATTTTTATTCCTTAAGTAACTGAGATTACAAGCATACCCACCCACTTTTGGCAGTACTGGGGATTAAACCCAGCATCACTCTACCATTAAGCAATGTCCCCTTTCCCTTTTGTATTTGGAAACAGGGTCTCACTAGATTATCAAGGCTAGCCTCAGACTTTGATCCTACTTCCTCAGCCTTCTTAGGACCTGCAATTACAGGGCTCTGCTACTATGCACAATTTAGGTATCTGCCCTGTAATGTAGTTTATGTAAGGAGCTTAGCCTCTGTTTGGATCTGTAAGTTAATTTATTTTTAGAGCGGGAGGTACTGCTGTTCCACAAACTCAGGTAGAATTCTCTTTTTTTTTCTTTTCAGTACTAGGAATCAAACTTGGGACCTTGTGCTTGCTAGGCAGGTGCTTATATCACTGAGCTATCTCCCCAGCCCCTAAATTTATTTTTAAAAAAGAGTGGGAAAGAAATCAGAAGTTGATGGTTTCTGTAGCTAGTACTGGCCTCAGAATGGAATCATGAGATGGAGAAAACAATTTGAAGTGGCTCTGAATTGATTTTGTTGAGCTGAGAGGAAAGACATGACCAAGCCCATATTTACTTTTTGCTTTATAGATTTAAATGTTGAGAGAAAAAATCCCAGCAGGTCATAATTTCAAGTTAAACGTGCTCAAAAGGGGGCATTCTGAGCGGTTCAGAACCCACAAAAGAGACTTGCAGAAAACCGCGGAGTGGCTCCTGGAGGCTGCGGCAGCGAGACCATGCTGCAGATTTGCTTGCTTTTGCTTTTTGTGTTTGTGTTGGAATAGCTTGACGCTGTGAGTGTGATACAGAGGAATTAGTAGCCCTAATTTTAGTGTCTATTCACAGGACCATAATTACCAGAGTTGAACATTGGTGTTGTGGCCAAAACTTTGGTTCTTTTCTTTCTTTCGTCCTGTCCTTTTTTTAAATTTTGGAGGCTTAGTCAAGCAGTCAAGCTTTATCTGAATAGCTCCATGAGTTTGATGGGGGGAATAAATTGTTAAGAAACGGAGAAGTACAAAAGCAGCTTTGTGGGTGCTGTCAGTTTATAAATCACACTTTCTTACAAGTGTGACACTTGGCCTTGGTGTGCAGGGTTTTGTGGCTTAAGGGCCTTCTCTCAATGGGGCACTCTTTCACATTCAAATGTAGAGTTAGCGGCCTAGCTTTGTTAGCCGTTTACAACTGGAAGTTTCTCTGGAGTCAATTCTGAAGGTGCCCGCTGGGGTGGACCTGGAAACCTCTTTGGGAGCCAGTTTACCTCACTACAAGGAGAGTATGGCAGCCCAAGCAGGCACTTGGGCTGGGCCTTGGCGTACCATTCCTCAGGGTGCTACACTCAGAGCTTTTTGTGCAGCTTCTTCCTATGTGGGGCCGAATTTGAAGGTATCAAAATATTCCCCAGCTGACATTGTTAGTCAGCTGTTACACTTCTACAATTCAAGCCTGGATTCCAACTCCAAACCCACAAGGTTGCAAGGCATTCAATACATTCCTGATGACAGTCCCTGGGATTCCAAACCTTGTCTTTGTGTGACCCTACCGAGAGCACTTTAGAAGGGCTTGGCAAAACTGGATTTTGGCTATGGCTTTGTTACCTTATAATAACATGCCTTTAAATAAATAAATAGAAATAAATAGAAATAAAATTACATGCCTTCTCTTTTTGGCAAAGATAGCCCTATGGGTTTTTTTTTTTTTAATTTTACATACTTGGTACAAGGTCTTATTACACAGCATGGACTCGTAGTGATCCTCCTATTTCAGCCTCCCAAGTGCTGGAATTACAAATGTGCACCACCACACCCGGTCTTGGTGGCTGGTTACCCTGGGGTGGCACAGCATGTGGTACTGAGGATCATTGAACCCAGGTCCTTGAGCTTGCGAGGCAGGTGCTTAGACCTCTGAGCTATCTCTGTGGCCCCTGCCTTCTGATTTTTTTTTTTTTTTTAAGTGAAGTTTTTTTTATTTATTTTTATTTATTACATTTATTTATTGTGTGTGTGTGTGGCCAGCTCAGCCCACCAGGGGGCGGGTCTGGCTGGCATGTGGTGCTGGGGATCGAACCGCGGTCCTTGTGCTTTGCCAAGCTTGTTTCAAGTAGGTGCTTTAGACCACTGAGCCATCTCTCCAGCCCCCTGCCTTCTGATTTTGAAATTATGTTTGAACTGGAAACTTCTAGATTCAAAGCCAGGTGTGGTGGTGCACACCAATAAATCCAGTACTTTGGAGGCTGAGGCAGGAGAATTGCTTTGAGTTTAAGGCCTGCCTGGGCTACAAAGTGAACTTAAGGCCAGTCTGAACTACATTGTGAAACCCTGTCTCAAAAAGGCAAAAAACAAAATCTGGATTCAAATTTGACCCTATGCTTGGCTTGTACAGAATAATTAGTTGGATTATGCAGAATACAGAGGGGGGGGTGGGGTGGGGGGGGTGGGACAGAAGCCACTTCCTGTTTCCTGTGAAAGGTTTTGGTTAGAGTTCCCTTCCCCTCCCCCCCGTTCCTAGGTTAAACCAAATGCTGTAAAGCTGCTTTTGCTTCAAGGTACATGTTGTGCTCTTAAATTAGAAACTTTTTAAAAAAAGAGAGGAAAAACAGAAATTGTGGTTTTCACACCATCTAGGAAGATGCTGGGCTTTTCTAGCACATGTGCCATCATGATAAATAAGGCAGTAGGAAAATGCCTAGCTTCATTTGTTTGCTTCCTTCAGTACCCAGAAGTCGTGAGATAGATTTAATCAAAATTGAATTGTCACAAACCTGATACAGACCCTACCATGCAGCAGATAAATGAGAGCAATGAAATGCAGGTGTGTAATCCCTACACTGTTTTTTTTTTTTTTTTTTTTTTTTTTGCAGAACTGGGGATTGAACTCAGGCCCTTGTGCTTGCCAGGGACGCACTTATTTCATTGAGCCTACTCCCCAGCCCCATGCTGCACTCTTGGAGGCTGAGGCAGGACAATTGTGTTTGAGCTAGCCTTGGCAGCTTGCTGACTTAGCAAGGAGATCCTGTCTCAAAATTATAAAAAAAATTTCAAAGGCCAGTCAGATAGCTCAGTGGACTAAAGCACCTGCTTAGGCAGAGCGCAGAGACTGGGGTTTGATCCCCAGCACCACAAGCCATGCTGGCCCTCCCCCTGGGGCTTCGCATGGTGGTGTGCACCTGTAATCCCAGTACTTGGGAGGCTGAAACCAGGAGAATCACTACGAGTCCTATCTGTGTAGTTAGACCCTGTACTAAATACATTTAAAAAAAAAAAATTCAAGGGACTGGGGATGTAACTCACTGTGAAAACCCTAGGTTCAGCCCCCAATATTGCCAGAGTTGGCATGAGACTTTGCCAGTCACCAAACTTAGTCAAATATTCCCTTGAGGAGGTTAGGCAAAATAACAAATAGGGGCGGTCACTCTGGCTTTCCTCACCCAGAAGCAGCCAGCTCTGTGCCTTAAAAAAACGCCTGTTGTGTGTGCAATGCACTGTGCGAGGTAGAGGGAAGGACATTTGGTCCTGCCTCCTTTTTGCACACCTGGTGCAAAATCCTAGAGAAACTCACAGGGCTGCCCCGGAACCCCAGCTGTGGAGGAAGGTGCAATAGGAGAAGTGTGGATGAGGCGGAAAGACTAACAGCCACACTTCTCTGGAGTGCACCCTGAGGTGCCTGGTGCCTCTTACTGACTCAGCCTCACTTTTCCTGTGTCATCCTCAAATGCTTTTTCTGGGAACCTGCAAAGTTTTCTACAGAAGGTAAGATAGGTTCCTTATTTCAGCCTGGGGGCTGCTCAGACCCAGCCCAGTGACAGAAGGCATGAGGGCCCAGAGTATAGACAGAGTGCCTAAGGGCACTGGCTCTGCTGGTGATTTACAAGGTGAATGGCCTGAAAGGTTTGTAGGGTAACCTGAAATTTTATGAGGATGGTGGGGAAAAAATATGGAAATTGGAGTCATTCTGGAGAACTACTGGATAAAAGGCCACTGATACTCCCACATTGCCGCTTTTGTTTATTTTGTGGATTGTCTGTTTTTTTTTTGTTTGTTTGTTTTTGTTTTTTTTTTTGCGGAACTGAGGTTTGAACTCAGGCCCTTGCACTTACCAGGGTAGCGCTTATTCTACTGAATCCATCTCCCCAGCCCCTGGATTGTCTGTTATTAGGGCTGTTGGATATTTATTTGTAGGCAAGGTCTCTCTATATATAGTGCAGGCTGACCTTGAACTCTCAGTGTGACCCAGGCTGGCCTTGAAAACTCTTTCCTCAGCCTCTAGTGCTGGGATTACCAGTGTATACCAACCACACCAACACCTGATAGTGGCCACTTTATCACAGGTCTTGAGAATTTAGATACACTAAGTGGGATTTTGTTTATGATGTACCAAACAATAAAGATTTGGGGGGCTGGCAAGATAGCTCAGTGGTCTAAAGCGCCTGCTTAGGCAAATGCTCAGGGACTGCAGTTTGATCCCCAGCACCACATGCAATGCCAGCCCTACCCCCAACAGTGGGCTGAGCTGGCCACACAAAACAAAAAAAAGAAAAAAATGATTTGGGGGTTGTCTGGTTTTTGGTACCAAGAATCGAACTCAAGACCTTGCACTTGCTAGTCAGGCACTACTCTTACGAATTAGTTGAGAAATTCCACAGTTGAGTAATAGCGTTTTGCTTTGTTTTTCCATCTCTTTCTTTGGGGGGGATGCAGGGGTTGCAATAAGGATTGAAAGGGATCCCTAAGCTAAATCTCTTGTCTAGGAATTGAACCCAGTGGGGAACTAGTTATTTTTAAAATTATTTAAGGGCTGGCGAGATGGCTCAGCAGATTAAGCGCCTCTGCTTAGGCAAGCAAACACAGGGACCAGGTTTCGATCTGTGCCACCCCAGTGGCCCAAGACTGGGAGTGGTGGTGCATGCATGTAATACTAGTGCTGAGGAGGCTGAAAACAGGAGGATCACTACAAGTCTGAGCTGCGCAGTAAGACCCTGTACCAAATATATTGAAAAAAAGTTGTGTCTAGAGACATGGTCCATCTGTGCTAACAGAGTGACCTCAAACTTAAATTTGTCCTGCCTTTGTCTCCCAGAATGCTAAGATTACATGCATGTACCACAGTGTCCAGCAGTTCTGAGGTTGATTGTGGTTGATTTTTTTGAGACATGGTCTCAACAGTTTAGGCTGACGTTAAATTTAGCACAGGTTGGCCTTGAATTTGTGATGATCCTCTTTTTCTTTTTTTTTTTTTTTTTTTTTTTTGGCAGAACCTGGGATTGAACTCAGGCCCTTGCGCTTGCTAGGGAAGCGCTTATTCCACTGAGCTCTCTCCCCACCCGCCCAGTGATGGTCCTCTTGCCTCAGCCTCCCAAGTGCTGGGATCACAGGCTATCTGATGTTTGATTGTGATTAGATGCTAATGACACATCTGTAGCAAGAATATCTGGGGATGTATTTTTCCTTTTGTATCCTGTGATGTGGTACATGGTTTATTGGTAATGTTAACGTTCGCTGTTTAAAGTGTCTGCCAAACTGAATTTGAAGTTACTCCTGGCCTTACATGAACAACATTTGTTTTGTGGAGAGGTACTTGGACATGTTAATATTTCTTTTTTAAATTTATTTATTTATTTACTTATTTTAGACATGTTAATATTTCATTCCTTATCAGACTTCTAGCCAATTTAGTTAACTGTAGGTCTGTAGAAAAGTAGATTCCAGTTTATTTAAGATGTTTTGTGTTATTTATTAGTATGACTTTTTTATTGTTGGACTGTCCTAGATTTGGGCGCTAGCCGTTTTTTTTTTAAGCTGGCTGCTGTTTTCTCTTGATTTCTCGGAGCACTTCCTTGTTTTCTAGTGTGATGAGGCATTCCAGGCTACTCTTGTACTCTCCCTGCCTGGCACATCCTGCCCCCTTGAAGTCAGCCATTTATCTAAGGAGAAATGCTAATGTGATTGGGAACTAGTGATCAGAAACCATGTGGAAGTTAAGTGTGCCTGTTTCTAGTAAAGTATCATTGCTTTTGGGTATTCTCAGCAGACATAGCTAATTAGTATTGGTGGGAGGGTGGGCATCACACTATCCATGAATTTTTTGGATTTTGTTTGCTTGTTTGGTTGATTTTTTTTTCAGACAAGATCTTGCTTTGTAACTTAGGCTGGCCTTGAACTCACTGTAGCCCCGTCTGGCCTCACATGGCGATCAATCCTCCTGTTGGGATTACTGACATGTGCCACTATGCCTGGCTATATCCATGAATTAAAAATGAGTTTGCGTTATTGTCTACCAGTGATAATTTCTTAATTCCCTGAGAATTCATTCACCTCTCACATTCTCTTTGGCGGTCAACCTGACCCCCCAAAATCTCAATATGTACGCTTGTCAGTTCAGCCTTTCAATGCAGTCAATCTCCTTTTGCTGCCTGAGGAAATGGCTTTCTTGCCTTACTGTGGTGTAATCCTTCTGGCCAGGCCGTCACACCACCCAGGGCACTCTGGCTTTGCCATGTCTTGCCCTCTCCAGCAAGTGGCTGGGTGGTGTGTTTTTCCCAGCAGTTGGTTTTGGACTGAATTTTTCATGATAAGGAAAGAACAGTTGAGTTCTTTGTATAGGTATTTCCAAATGTTTGGAGCTGATGAATAACATTTATTTATTGTACAAAATTAGAAATTTATTTTTTTAAGTTTATTTTTTTCTTTTTTATATTTTAATAATTTTATTGAGAAAGAAGTAGCAATGAGATAGTTTCAAAACAGGTTAGTAGTACAGTTACAATAATTAATACATTGCATTTTGTTATCTTTGTAGTTGTTCCTAGTGCAAGATGCGGACATGATATCTTGTCTAAACATTATTAGTTCAAAACCTTCTTCTCATTGAACTAAGAGCTGTATATTTATGCTATTTTATATGTAGGGCCTGAGTCCATTAAGTTTATTTTTGAGGCAAGGTTTTATTATGTAACCCAGGCTGGCCTCAAACTCATGGTGATCCCCCTGTGTCAGCATCCCCATTGCTGGGATTTATTTATTTATTTATGAGTATGTATTTTATTTTATTTGTTTGTTTGTTTGTTTGTGGCCAGCTCAGCCTGCCCTGGTGGTGGGGTTGGTGCGGCATATGGTGCCAGGGATTGAACTGCAGTCCCTGCACTCGCCTAAGCTTGCCAAAGCAGGCTCTTTAGACCACTGAACTATCTCACCAACCCAGGATTGATTGATTGATTGATTGATTGATTGATTGAACTGGGGATTGAACTCAGGCCCTTGTGCTTGCCAGACAAGTGCTTATTCTACTGAGCTATCTTCCTGGCCCCAGTCTTTTTTATTCCCTCAGGGTTTATTTTTAAAGTAAAACATGTTGCATTTTTTAGGACAATTCAGCTGGGGGCTGAGCAGGATGATGGTCAGTTCATAGAGCATGTGCAAACCTGGATTCAGTCTGCAGTACCAAAACACGGTTTAGCATTGAAAGTTTTAGCCAGACTTCCTTCTGCCTCAGGGCTTTTGCAAATACTGTTCTGTTTCTATTTTCTTTTCTGTAGCTTATGTCCCATATATCCCAGAGAGTGTTTTTGTTAACATTATTGTCATTCATCATCAAATCATTCTTCTGTGAACCATTTAATTTTTAGTTGCTTTTGTTTAATATTACACATAATATTTTATTGAATATTATTAGATACATATCATTGCTTCTCATTGGTGCAAGTACTTTTGTAGTGTGTATACAGCCAGGTTTAAGGAAGTGGAGTGGACCCTGGCACTGGGGAGGTTGTTTTCCCTTGTGCAGGATGCATGGCTGTCATGGGGTCCACATGCACGGAGGAGACCACAGTAAGTGTTCAGCAAGCATTTTTTCAATTGAATGGGCCTTGGCTTCTCCTAGTGATCAGTTAAGTTTATTCTATTAAATTAATTAATTTATTTATATTTTAGGGAAGGGTCTACAGAATTGTTCAGGGTCTCACTACTAGATCGGACTCATAGTGATCAACCTGGCATGCCCCTTAGCTCAGTTTTTTAAGTGGCTTCAACAAAGCAGTGCAAAGCAGTTTTTTTTTTAATTTTATTTGTGTGTGTGTGTGTGTGTGTGTGTGTGGCCAGCTCAGCCCACCAGGGGGCGGGGCTGGCTGGCATGTGGTGCTGGGGGATTGAACCGTGGTCCCTGTGCTTTGCTAAGCTTGTTGTAAGTAGGTGCTTTAGACCACTGAGCCATCTCACCAGCCCGCAAAGCAGTTTTTTAAGTGCTTCAACAAAGCAGTCAGGCTCAGGTTGCTGTGGTTTGATCCCCAGAACTGAAGCCAGCCAAACCTGCCCTGAAGGCATTCTGAGCCTGCCCAAAAAAACCCAAAAAACTGGGATTACAGGGATCAGTTAAGTTTAAGTAATGGAATTTGTCTGAGATAAAAAGCTGCTGCTTTGTGGTTCATATTTCATCCCTGAGCGTTTCTACCTTTTCTTAACAGAAGGTGGTTTTCTGCCCTGTAAAAGAGGCGCTGGAGGTGGACTGGAGCAGTGAGAAAGCGAAGGCCGCCCTGAAGCGCACGACCTCTGATTACTTTCTCCTGCAAGGTGAGGCTGGCCAGGCTTCAGGGGCAGACTGCTGGCTTGCATTGCTGCATAGGTGATGTCTACTCTGGGTGGAATCGCTCTTCAGCTGGCTCATAGTTGGCCCTTCTAAGAAGGGCTGAATAAATAAATGGGTTGAGACCCAGCATTGAACTCTTTTCTGGTAACTTGCTTTTTTTCTATTGAACTGATCTGTCTTCTACAAGTATGCCTTAGAGAAATAGTATTGCAAATCCAGCAACTTCTCATCCCTACTTTTCTTTCTTTATAGTTCTTCCTTGGGCTCAAAACAAGTATCAAGTCTTTCTTGCCAAACAGAAAACCATAGAGGTGTTAGAGTTTTTGGGGACCCCCAAATCACTAGTAATGAGCTACTTTGCAGTCTATCCTTGCTCATTCTTGGGGAGGTATTGTAGAATATTGATTGGCTTGTCAGTGTTCTTCTTGTGCCTAGTACTTCTAATTTTTAAAGTATTATGTAAAATAATTGAAAACATTGAATAATAAGTACAAGTTCAAGCCAGCCTAGGTTATCTTCCTGCCTCAGCTTCTGGAGTGCTGGGATTACAAGTGTGTACCACCATACCTGGCCTGCTCCTGCTTTTTAAATTTTATCTATTTAAGACCAGGGTGTCCTTGAAGCCTTGATTCTCCCCACTTCAGCCTCAAGTAGCTGGAACTACAGGTGTGTGCCACCACATCATTCTTAACTCTCCCTATTTTTAAACAAGGAAACTGAGGTACAGATGTAGGGTACTACTATTCTCAAAGTTATATAGCAAGTGAGTATAAAAATACTTTTAATGGGTTTAAAAATAATTTGTTACTCTAGAGCATGCCAGAAAAGCACAAAGAAGGAAAAATATGACCTTGACATTTTTGTGTTTTTATGTTTTGTCATGACATAGTACATGTAGCATAATATTTACACAAGGTACTGGAGTCCCTCAGCCATCTCTCCTAGCCCTGTTTGTCCATTCCAGGGCTAAAGAGAATCCATATCTCTGCATAAGTGTAATTCACTCTCAGATTAAAAATAGACAGGTAGCTTTGATTTAGAAAACCTGAAAAGCATCATTTGGTTACATGTGGGCAGTTTCCAGCCCCCGTTTACCCTGGGCTTAGTTGAACTATATCCCCATCTTGTTATTTCCTGTGAAGGTGCCACAAAAATCTGTGCCGTAGGCTCCATTGTCAGCACCACACACACCCCACCAGAGTGTGTGCCATGCACACCTGTAGTCCAGCACTCTAGGCTTTTTTTTTTTTTTTTTTGGTGGTACCAGGGATTAAACTCGGGCCCCTCATGCTTGCCAGGCAGGTATTTATACTGCAGAGCAATCTCACCAGCCCTCACTCATTCCAGCACTCTAAAAGGGTGAGAAAGGAGAATCACAAGTTGAAGCTCAGCCTGGGCAACATAGTGACCAACTGAGATCCAGTCTCAAAAAAGGATCCCTGGTACCACCAAAAACAAGACAGGACAGAAAAATATATGACATCCTTGATAACTAGTAAAAGGATCTTAAAACTAAATTACAAGGTTTTTTTGTTTTTGTTTTTTTTTCTGTGCACCAAGCTTTTCATCAATGTTCTTTTTTTTTTTTTTTTTGGTGGAACCAGGGATGGAACTCAGGTACTTGAGCTTGCCAGGGAAGCGCTTATTCCACTGAGCCATCTCCCCAATTTTCATCAATGTTCTTTTTTTTTGGGGGGGGGGCGCACCAAGCTTTTCTAATGCTAGTTATGTTAACAAGATGAGTTAAAGAGCATCTGGAGGAACAAACTATTCTAAAGTCCTGAATGTCTCCATTGGAATAGAAATAATGAAACATGTTAAGCAGGAAATCAGGCATGTAGCTGGGGCAGGCCTATGGGACCTGGCATGGAGGAAGTTCTAGCTGGGGTCAGCAGCAGCCTGTCTAGTCCAGTTCACTGAGCACAGTGCCTGGGCCACATGGAACAAGTAAGATGTTCAGGACTTGACACATTGAAGTCCTTGGGAAAAAGCAGCCACTAACCTGTAAAGGCATGACAAGAACATCTCTAAATGGTGCTCTTGAAAGAAGGGGCCTGATATTTCTTGAGATAGGCATGGTGGAAAGGATCCCCAATTTGTTTTCTTGAATTGAAGAAATGAGAGACATGGTTGTAAATGGCAGAGGAGGGAGGACTCAAAAAGGTGCTTGAAGGGCTGGCCAAATAGCTCAGCGAATTAAAATGCCTGCAAGCAGGCACAGGGGCCGGGGGTTCGATCCCCGGGGCACGCTGAGACAGCAACTGAGACTGGGTGTGGTGGCGCGCACCAGTAATCCCAGCTCTTGGGAGGCTGTAAACAGACCCTGAACACCCTGTAGGCCCTTCCATAAAATTTAAAAAAAAATGTGCTTGACGTCTGATTCACCACCATTACAAGTCTGAATTAGAGAGCACATGGGGCCATTCCTAGAGATGTGCATTCACATTGAATCTTGGCCACATCAGTGTGAGACAGTGATACACCTACCTCACTGATAGATGTCATCAAAGGCACAAACGAATGAATACCCAGACACCATGGCCATCCCTTCGTTCAGCAAAGCTAGTGAGCTGAGGAAGCAAAACCAATATGCTGGGACAGTAGAGGACAAGTACAGGTTTACTGGCTGTCCTGCTGACAGGAAGTTACCAGAGCCCAGAGGAAGCAGCACCACTGTAACATGACGCACACAGCAGGCATTGATGTGTGGCTATTTAGAACAGCTTTGGAATTAAAACAGATCTGGCTTCCAGTCCTGGCTCTGTCATGTTATGTTATGTTATGTTATGTTATGTTATGTTATGTTATGTTATGTTTTTGAGGCAGGGTCTCACTATGGTCTTAGACTGCTCAGACTAGCCTTGAACTCACCATGTAGCCTAAGCTGACTTCATACAGCGATACAGCGATCCTTCTGACTCAGCCTTCCAAGTGTTGAGATTACAGGCATGTGCTACAACATGTGGCTTGTTTGCTTGTTTGTCTGCAGTGCAAGGTGTTTTTGTTCTTTTTTGAGACAGGCAGGCTGGCCTTGAGCTCACTTTGTAGCTAAGCTGGTCTTCCTTGGAAACAGTCCTCCTGCCTCAGCCTCCTGAGTGCTGGGATTACAGGCGTGTGCCACCATTCCCAGATCTAACACAAGGCCTATGAATGCTAGGCAAGGGTTCTACCACTGTGGTACACCTGTGACCCTGCCTTTCTTTTTTCTTTTTTCTGTCTTTAAGATGAATGATCTTGAGCATTTATTTGAATTCCCCAGGGGCTGAGCATCCCTCTGAAGATGGCACATTAGCAGCACTTGCCTCAGAGAGCTTTTGTGTGGCTTGGACTTTGGGCAAATAAACACATAGCACAAACCAAATCTTGAAGAATAGTTTATTCCATGGAGTTAGGTAATTTTGTTATGTATATTTTGGAACTGTGTAGTAGAAGTTTAGGGGTTGACTCAGTTTACCCCTTAATTTCATCTTTCAGTAGGTATCATGGCAACAACCCTGGCAGGTTTTAATTTTCTGCCTGTGACACTAGTTGGAAAATATATCCTATTTTGAGTCTCTCATCCAAATGGTACTAGTTATCTGTTCTTGTAGTTTCAGATTTCAAGGTAGTAGATATGATGATTAAATTTTGTTTTTGTTACTGTGGTGTTTTTTGTTTTGTCTTTTTTTTATGTAGTTAGTGCAGGATCTACAAGGTCTCTTTCACTACACAGATCGGACTTATTAGTGATCCTTGCTGTTTTTCAGCCTCCCAAGTGCTGGGATTACAGGTGTGTGCCGCCACACCCAGTCTTATTTGCTGTCTCAGCATGGCAGGCCGGGGATCAAACCCAGGCCTCTGCATGTGCCTAAGCAGGCACTTTAATCCACTGAGCTATCTGGTTGGCCCTTGTTTTTGTCTTTTTGAGAATGGGTCTTGCTATACAGTTTACACTGGCTTTGAACTAGCTGTGTAGCCCAGGCTAGCTTGAATTTGCAACAGTCCTTCTGCCTCATCCTTCAGGGGTTGGGATACAGGCATGTACCACCACGCCCAGCTTAAAATTATACATTTTTTTTTTATTTATTTGAGAGAGAGAGAGAGAGAGAGAGAGAGAGAGAGAGAG